AAGAGGGGAATGTTTGAGAGAAATTTTATAAAAAACATTCTTAAGGTGTGAAGTTGGGGGGGTAATGTTGAAACAAGGAGAAGGGGGGAGGAGTAAAAAGGTCATGTCTGAAAAAATTGTAGGGTGTAAAAATCAACAATTTGTTTTTTTGAAAATTAGGAGGGGGTGCGGGATTACCAAAACTATTACCCAAAGGGGGGTAGGGGGGGTTGTTGAGGTGGGGGGACATGTAAGGGATAAACAAAACAAAATAAATTAAAGTGTGTATAAATCTTTTGGGGAGGGAAGGCAGGGTAGGGTTGGCATAAATGGTTGGGGGGGACGGGTACAGGAGGTTTGGTTTAGAAAGGTTTTAGATTTTAGAAGATGTGTAGGTGTTAAAAGGGGTTATGGAGGCAATGGTTTTTAGAATTTGGGTTTTGGGGGAGCAAGGAATTTAGAAGGGATTCAGAAAGCCGGCGGCCGGGGACCCGGCCCTGGGGGGGGAAGTATGTGCCTCTTTCTGGGGGGGGTTTTAATTTCAATTTTAAAACTGTATTAAGTGCCCCCCGAAACAGTGAGGAGTGAATATGTAAAATTTTTTTTTTTTTTTTCGGGCCCCGCCTTGGGGGGAGAGGCCCATGTTTTAATAAAAAGAAACAAATTTAAATCAGTACACACTGTTAAACTTTTTAAAAATCCAAAATTTTAAAATTGTGCAAAGGAAACTTTAAAACAATATCAAAGAGGTTTACACAAACCCACACTTAAGAATTCTTCACTTGGACAATTTCTGTTGGATGTGGCTTGGGAAGGGAAAACTCTGTCTTAAGTGAAAGGTTGTGTATCCATTTTCAGGGATAAATACTCTGTTAATCCAGTAAAAAAACTGTGCATTGTTTTTAATTTTAAATTTTGGGGTTGTAAAAAATTATTTTTGTCTGTTTAAAGTAAAAAAAAAATAAAAAATACCGGTTGCTTTCCAGAAAAAATCGTGGATTACAATCAAGGCACGGGCTATGCAATCCCCCTGCTTCTGGCCCCTGCAACATCACCCCACGCTCTCCAACAACATATAAAAACCCTTTCGGGAAGGAGTTGATAAATGAGAGGGCATTTGCTTCTTTTTGCAGCAATTATGAATCTTACTGTGACAGCTGAAGGACCTGGCACCATACACATATTTTCACAAATAGTTGTAGAAAACAAACGGTTTCCCTTTTTGGATCGTAGATTAAATTATGACAAACGACACTGGAAAAACAACACATATTTTTATCAGTTTTAGGAAAAATTTACTATTTACCAAAAAACATGGGTGTGTAAACAAGTAATCCCGGCAACCCTTTGTCTTTAAATTTCGTTTAATGCATAAACGACAAGATAATTAAGACAAAAAATTTCGCCTAATAAAATTTTGATTTTAACAGGATAGGTTGGGTTTTTCAAATTTTCATTATAAAAAAAAAAATCATTAATAATCTTTATGTATTGAATGTAAAAGAGAAGTTTGAAATTTAAGTACAACCAAAATATCAGTCAACATTTTGCATGAAAAATGGGACAGAAATCACAAAAGTCAAGCCCTTTAACCCTTTGACTTTAAGACCCCCCCCCAATCCTGAATTCTGTTGCAAAATATTAAAAAAAAAGAAAAAAAAATTCCCATGGAAATGAAAGAAACTTTTCCGATGGAATGACACCCTAGTAAAATTTGATGGAAAACTTTTGGAAATTACCTCTCCAAAGTAGCAATTTTGGAATAATATGCATCGGGGTTTTGCCCAATTTTTACCCTTTTTCAGCCAGTTCCTTTTTCAAGTCGACCCAAAATTTTGGGGTATTTCTTTTTAAACCCCCTTTTTTCTATCGATTGATTTCAAGAAACGCCCCCCATTTAAAAACCGATTTTTAACTACCCAAAATGGGCAAAATAGGCAATTCAGGGCCCAATTTACGCAAAATTTAAAAAAAAAAGCCAATTTCAAAATGTATTAAAAAAAAACCAAAGCAGACTTTTCCCGACCTAAAAAAAACTTTTTTTCTGTTCTTTGTGACATCCCAGGCCCCCCCTTTATATTACTCTTTCTTCTATTTGAATTTTTATTTACACAAAATAGAAGATTTAATGTTACAATTACTGCAATTGTAATAACTGAAATAAGTAACCCCTTATGACGCTATTAGAAGGTTGTTGGGCACTTATGGACGGGAGCTTTGTTTTTTCTCTTAAACATTGCAAAAATTGAACATTTCCGCTACTTTGAGTTCAATTTCAAGATCGTTCTCGTCGTGAAACCAATCAAAATCATTGTGAAACCAGTCAAAATCTCTATTTCTGTAATGTCTTTCATTCTATCAAATGAGACCAAGAAAACGAGATTTTTTTTTTTTTCAACAAGTCGGCCGTCTCCCACCGAGGCAGGGTGACCCAAAAAGAAAATACTTTCATCATCATTCAACACTTTCACCTCACTCACACAATCACTGTTTTTGCAGAGGTGCTCAGAACACAACAGTTTAGAAGCATATACCTGCAGTTTACCTGGAGAGAGTTCCGGAGGTCAACGCCCCCGCGGCCTGGTCTGTGACCAGGCCTCCTGGTGGATCAGAGCCTGATCAACCAGGCTGTTACTGTTGGCTGTACGCAAACCAATGTACGAGCCACAGCCCGGCTGGTCAGGAACCGACTTTAGGTGCTTGTCCAGTGCCAGCTTGAAGACTGCCAGGGGTCTGTTGGTAATCCCCCTTATGTATGCTGGAAGGCAGTTGAACAGTCTCAGGCCCCTGACACTTACTGTATGGTCTCTTAACGTGCTAGTGACACCCCTGCTTTTCATTGGGGGGATGTTGCATCGTCTGCCAAGTCTTTTGCTGCACAACATATCCCTCCAAACCATAAATACTATACGAAAATACACCTCAAAGTTGGCGTGTAGGCCAAAAAATACAGTGTAGGCCAAAAACACAGTCGGAGTTTTTTTAGTTATTATGCACTGTGTGCTGCAGAATTTTTTTTTTATACTGTGCACACTTACCACACAGACCCATTCTTTCACATGAGGGTCTACCAGCTTTCTCTCCTGCTTGATTTGAAGCCGGTAGAATTTTGGCGAATTAATAAGTCACCAACACTGGTTCGTAAGAAGTATATATATGACACCGATAGAGATAATGTATGGACATAAGCAACCAAAAAGCACGTGTGAACACATTACACTGAAGTGAAGACGAACATTTTTTGGGATTTTAAGTGCTGTTAACCCTTTGACTGTCGCGGCCAAATATATACGTCTTACGAGGTACCGTGTTTGACGTATATATACTCATAAATTATAGCGGCTTCAAATCAAGCAGGAGAAAGCTGGTAGGCCCACATGTGAGAAAATGGGTCTGTGTGGTCAGTGTGCACCATATAAAAAAAATCCTGGAGCACGCAGTGCATAATGAGAAAAAAAAACTCCGACCGTTTTTTTAATTAAAATGCCGACTTTGTGGTCTATTTTCGTGTAGTATTTATGGTTGTATTCTCGTTTTCTTGGTCTCATTCGATAGAATGGAAAACATATTATAGAAAGAGAGGTGATTTTGATTGATTTTACTATAAAAAGAACCTGAAAATGGAGCTCAAAGTAGGGGAAATGTTTGATTTTTGCCAATGTTCAAAAGTAAACAAATGATGTCATTGTCCAATAAATGTCCAACTAGCCATTCTTAATATGCAGTCATGAATGGGTTGGAGTGTATTTATACAAATTATTACAGTATTGCAGGAGTCTGGATAATAGTAAGTTTCTATGTTTGTTTGAATAAAAATTCATATTGACAAAGCAACAGTAAAATCAGAGGGGCTTGGAGACAGGACTGATGAACAAAGAAAATGTTATTTTAGAGCCAGGAATGTCTGCGTTTTCATTCTGGGCTTATTTTGAAATTGTCATATTTTTTAATTTTGTGAAATTGGCCAAATTGCAAATTTCTGACCACATTATTGGGTAGTTGAAATCGGTAAATGGGCAGTTTCTTGTATCAATAGATAGAAAAATGGAGTTCTAAATAAATAGCTATGAGTCTGGTCGGACTGGAACAACGGGAATAGCGGAGATTAATTTGGGCTCAACAGTGGGCGAACTTGCCATTGTAAATATCGCCGTGGTCGCTATACTTCGCGAGAGCATAATTCCGTCAGTTTTCCATTCAAATTCGTTTTTTTTTGGGTGTCATTTACAATCGGGAAAAGATTCTCTATCATTTCTAAGAATTTTTTTCTTTTTTTTTTTAAATTTTTCGGCACAGGAAGACACCTCAGGATGGGGGTGGTTGCTAACAGTCAAGGGGTTATAATGTGATTAACATTACACATAAAAGGGATTAAGAAAACAGACA